ATTAAGAATGCCACTTGTCCTTACATCGATGTTTCACGTACCATGCCCTGTCAGCTTGTTGATAGCCCATGTGCCATGTCTTTTTTCCACCAATACAGATAGTCCCCCCACTTTCTGAATATTCTCAACTGAATATTCGGAAAGTAGTAAGTTTTTATGACAGAAATTCTTTGCCGTCGTTTCTCGAGTATCATTATTCCTCCTTCAAAATCGATGCGACGTATGTCACATTCATTTAATGTCCATACCACATGGCTTCTTATGATTGGATTTGTAGTTTCTCAGTGCTTTTTAAGGTTTTTTTGCGGCTGCGTCAGTCACGAAGTGATGGTTCCATTATGACGCTTCAAAATGACCAATTTTTAATGATGTCGTATCTCCATATAAATACTTCATACTTTTGATTTCTTGAAACCTTCTTGCATTTGTATCCATTATCTTAGTGCTTCTCGGTACCTTTTCTCTGTATTTCCTTTGTTAAACATGTCTTCATCAACACCAGACCCTCGCAAAGTTGTGATTGTCAACGAGCTTGCTCCTTCTGCTGCCTCTACTAGAAGTAGGAGAGGTGGTAGATTTCATAGCCTTGGTTCATTATATACTCGTGGTTCTGCCAGCCCATCTTCTTCCAAACCTAGGGATCCTCTGACCCCTAAATACTCTTCTAGAAATAAGGACCTGAATGAACCTATGCAAGAGCCTACGGTTGCTGAGATTGTTCCTCAAGAATTTTCTTTTGTGTTAGATCGTGAGACCATAAGGAATCAAGTCTCCTCTATAGCTTCCCTTAACCCTGCTAAACTGTACCCAAGTTTAATCACTCTTGTCTTTCTTTCCTTAGTTCGACAAAAATGTCATTGGAAATCAGATTTTCCAGTTTTAATCCCTTGTGTTAGTCAAAGAATCACCTCTTACCATGCCAGGTTTTCTTTTGCTTATACCTACCCTTTCACTTTAGGGTTTAAGCCTCCCATTGATCCAGTGATCATCGAGTTTTTTCGTTATGTTAATGTGTGTCTTGGCCAGATTGGTCCCATCGTGTGGAGGGTGATAGCATGCCTTCGTTATTTATCAGATTTGGTCTCTGTTCCTTTTACCTTTCGTCACTTACTTCATCTTTACTCCCCCAAGTTGTTTCGTGAAGGAATATTTTCCCTTGTGGCTAGAAGTAAAAGAGTGTTAGTTAGCCCCCAGGATGACCGAAACCGTGGTTGGTACTCCGTTTTGTTGTTGCCCCCACTAGTGGGTGAAGAAAACATGCCTTTTCCAGAAAAATGGAACTTTGCACGTAAGTTTTCTTCTTTTTTTTTTTAAATATATATCTTGAATTCTGTCATGTAACCATAAATGATATCATACTCCCCGAGTTATATTGCCCACTTAGCTAATCTACCTGACAATTCCTGTTTATTCAATATATTCCTTAGGGGGAAAGCAGTTATAACAGAAATAGGTAAATGAGCAATCTTTCATCGTCTTTTGGTTTGGCCAACAAAGGCGAATTCGATAGATATGACTTTAGGTCTTCGAGAGCTTGTTGTCACTTATCAGTCCATTCAAATTAATTCTGCTTTTTCAATACTGAAAAGAATTTAAAACTTTTTTCCGACGACTTTGATATAAACCTTCCCAGAGCTGCTATCCTGCCTGTTAATCTCTGCACTTCTTTCTTGCTCGTGAGTATATCTAGTATTTCCTCAATAGCTTTGATCTGTGTAGGATTTTCTTCAATACCATGTTAGAAATAAGAAAACCTAAAAACTTACTTGAAGCCACGCCAAAGCACATTTTTTCGGATTTAGCTTCATATTATACTTGTGGAGAGTTTCAAAGGTGTGTTAGAAGTGTTTTAAATGATCTCCCGCCTATGTTGACTTGACTAACATATCGTCTATGTAGACTTCCATGGTTTTTTCCAGATGTTATTTGTCACCAATCTTTGATATGTGGCTCCGGCATTTTTCAAGCCAAATGGCATGACTTTATAACAATAAGTCCCCCTGTTTGTGATAAATGAAGTTTCTTTTTCATTTAGAGGGTCCATTTTTATTTGGTTATAACCTAAGTACACATCTAAAAAGCTTAAAAATTCATGACCCATGGTAGAATCAATTAGTTGATCTATATGCGGTAAAGGAAATGAATCTTTAGGACATGCCTTATTTAAATTAGTATAGTCTACGCAAACTCGCCATTTTCCATTCTTTTTTGGAACCACAACGTTACTAGCTAACCAATCCAGGTATTTTACCTCTTGTATTGAATCAATTTTCAAAAGCTTTTGTACCTCATCCTGGATCACTTGATTTTTGAAAGATCCTTGCTTCCTTTTATTTTGTTTGACAAGAGGGTATAATGGATCATCATTCAGTTTATGAGTCATCACCTTCGGTGGCATACCTGTCATATTTGAGTGCAACAAGCAAAGTAATCTGTGTTAGCACGTAAAATTTCAATTAATTACCTTTCATATTAAGGCTCAAATTTGCTCTGATGTAAACTTTCTTGTGTGGACAGTGGTCAAATAATATTACGACTTCAAGCTCCTCGGTGGTTGTTTTAATGTTCTCATTTTCCTCAAGTTGTTGAATCACATCGGGTCTCAAGTCAACATCAATTTGCCGTAGTGTGACTTCAGTTGAGATTTTAATAGCAGTATCCTCAACTAAATTCTGTAATTTCTATTCCACATCTAAACTGTTGGTTCTTATGCTTGCAAACACCACCGAGTTAATACTTCGTGAAGCTTGTTGGTCAATACAGATTCGACGGATTCCCTACTGTGAAGGAAATTTGATGACTTGATGCAAAGTGGATGGGACAACATCCATATCATGAATCCATGGCTTTCCTAGAATCATATTGTAGGCCATATACGCATCTATCACATGGAATTTTGTATCCTTGATGACCCCTTCTGCAAATGTGGTAAGTACAATGTCCTCTTTCGTAACTACGCTTGAATTATAAAACCTAGACAAGGTTCGTGCTTTTGGTATGACCTTATCATTAGCTTGCACTTCATTCACCACCCTCGGTAAAATGATATTTACTGAGCTACCTAGATCAATCAAAAGTCGTTTTACATTAGTATCATGTACACGCAAAGATATTATTAATGCATCGCTGTAGGGAATCATCAAGCCATCCACATCTTCATTGTCGAATGTTATAATGTCGCTATCCAAGACATGGCAAACACGCTTCCGGTGAGTGACAGTGACCTTTGGCATCTTTTTGCGGCTGTATATGTCACTCCATTAACCTCATCTCCTCCAGATATGACGTTAACTGTTCTTTTTAGTAATGGAGGCTTTGGGGGTTCCTATTTGTTCTTCATGTATGATTGTCTTCCTTTCTCACTAAACAAATCAGTAAGATAACCTTGCAACAAAAGTTCGACCTCTCCTTGCAAAAGCCTGCAATCTGCTGTTCTATGGCCATAATCATTATGAAACTCGCACAAAAAATCTAGGTTTCTTTTTTCGAATCTGACTAGATGTCTTTCGTCCATCACACCTTATCTCCCATACCTCTTAAAACAACCACTAATTTAGAGGTGCTAACGTTAAAGCTGTAATCCCCTATTCTTGCTTGCGTATCAGAATAATTGTTTCGGGTATCTCGTCCTTTTTTAATCTAGATGAAGAGCTTGCATCTTTTTGCCTTGATCTTGGATAAAATCGTGGATTCTCCCATTTAGAACGAGAATCTCGTCTCTTAGTTCCCATGTATGGCTCGTACCTATTTTTACCATACCTCCTTTCCGATTCTGAGCGTCTCAAACCTGATCTTTCTTCTGCCTTTGGAGGTACGACTGTATCTTCTTCTATCCGCAGCTTCGTACTCTATCTATTGTACATACCGTTCCAAGTTGTTGCAGGAAATTCTCACAAACTTTCCTTCAATTTCCTCGTAGTTTTTGAACTTTTCTCGTTCAAGTTGCTCGTGATTGCCATAGCTGTCCAATTATCAGGTACTGGAGGCAACATCATCCTCTCCCCCTGGAATCTATCTATGAATTCCCTAAGCAATTATGTACTTCATTGTTAAACCTTAAAGATGTCCTCCATCCTTTTTTCAACTTCCAATTGTACTTGTCACGACCCGAAATTTCCACCTTTGGGACCGTGATGGCGTCTAACATTTCACTCGCTAGGCAAGCCAGCGTTAGAAAACCGTTAAGTCAATTTTCATTCAATTTCAATAAATAAAGTTGATTAAGTCAAAATGAATTAAAGCTGAGTGTGAAATAACATAATTACTCATAAATATCTACTACGATTCGGATCTGGAGTCACAAGTTACGAGCTTCTAGAATTTACTACAAATAAAGTCCGAAAGAAATACAACTATTCGAAAGAAAAGAATTAGTGAAATAAGTAAAATAGAAGGGGACTTCAAGGTATGCAGACACCAGCAGATCTACCTCGAGTCTCCGAATGAACAAATCGAAACTGCTCCAACTCACGGACAACTATCACTACAAAAAAATGCTCACTTTGCGGAGGTTTTATTTACATATTGCGGCGGTCAGTAACGTCCGCAATATACTTTTACGGCGATCTCCAAAACCCCTGCAATATTGTTCGCCGCAACCAATTTGTGGGGGGGTTTTGACAGACCGTCGTTATTATATAGCGGCGGGTATAACCTCCGCACTTTGGTAGTTTGGCGCTGTGACATTATAAAATAGCGGAGGTCTGAACCCCCGCAATTTCTTTATTTAACCTTCGCAAACTTTATAACACAATTATTATTATAGGTTGAACAGCGGCAGTTATAACCTCCGCTATTCAATTTTGTTCTGCAACGTTACTACATAACTATTCCAATTTCAATTATAATTTTCTTTTAACAATTAATAAAGGCAAGTTTCCCAACTACTGGAATATTAAAAAGATAAATCGATCTTTGCTTTATGGTAAGAGGGAAATGTAGTGAGTCCACATTAAAGTAAATTATCATTAGTCTCAAAATTTTGTTTTAAACACAGTCCTAACTAAACATCAATATTATAATTAGTCTTAAAACTAACATTAAACAAAACATCCAGTCCAACCATTATGGACAAAAGATCTACTATGACCATTCAATCAAGTACGATACTTAATTATCTAATACATTTGAAAGCAACTTCAAAGGTTGTTGTTAGGATTACTTTCATCGGATGATCTTCTTATATCCATGGGTGCAATGGATCCGCTAGCCACATCACTTGGCTACAAAACAATCAAAAGAAAATATATTTAACAAAAAGTACCTCAACAATATCCTAACTAATAATACTTGAATTGATTAATTATACTTTACGAAATTAAATAAGAAAGTTATGAACTATTCTTACCGTTGAACGAGGAACAGAAACAAATATCCCTGCAAATTCTTCAGGTATCTTCCCTTCTTTAATTATCATATACACCTTAAAAGCATTCATCATTTGAGTGTTAGCACTCATCATTTGAGTGTTAACATTCATCATTTCTTTGTAGTTATCTTGGCTTTGATTGTGGGCATTCAACATTTGATTGTACTTCTCTTGACATTGGGAAGAACACGAACCATTATTATAACTTGAAGCATTCAAATCACTATAACGAGGTCTTGTTTGTCTAAAAGCTCTGCCAGGAACAACTCCCAATTCTAAGCACCTTACCCTTCCAGAGTGCTCTTTTCCCAACACCTTACCAATAACATCATTTGGCAAAGTTTCGGACTCATCCACGGTGCTTTGTTTCAATTCTAGTTCAATTTTTTCCTAAATACATTACACACCAAAAGTCAGAGCCCTTATTTCAATCATTGATTGACAAGTTAAAATTAGTGTAATTTCACCAACAAATTATCCACATTCTCTCTAGTTCATAGTGGCTGACAGTTTCTAGAGCTTCCTTTAATTAATTGGCTTATACAATACAAATTTGAATTAGTCGGATCAATAAGTACTAGATACTGGATGGTTAAATAAAGAAGACTAGTCAAGGACTCAAAATAAGCCACATGTTTAAAGAACCACAAGTTAATGAATGCATGAATGCATGCGCTCATAAATAAGCTCATGTTGCACCATACTTAGCAATTAAAAAAATCTGAAAGCCACAACACATAGTGGAGCAATAGGAATATATCAGATTGAACCAATTTGTCCCATGGTCAAAATTGGATTTTTGATTCATTTTTTTAGGAATACTTGTGGTGACTAGGTGAGTAGTCTCAATCTTTTTACAGGCATTCTTGTTGTTACCAATTAAATGTTTCTTGGATTTAGTCATAACCTGGTCTTCTATTCTTCGGTTTGGCCAGTTGTCAATTTCTGTTGAATATACATAGCTGCAATTAATATCTAAAAACATGGGAGATAACATTTCAAACGCTGTCCTTTTAATTTACTCAAGCATGATCAGCTTCCACTTTATTCATTTTGTCATATTGACTAATAAATCTGTCCAGTGAATGCAAAATATTGGTATATACAGCAATATTTGCAGCTTCATGTTCACTTTTGCCAGTAAAAAGAGATACTTAAAAATAAGGTTTGATGTGTAAGATGGAAATGTGTGTCAAAGAAATATGGCCTCAAACTCAGAAGACAAACTATGTATTCTGCCTAGATATTAAGGCAATATGTTATACTTGGCTCTTTTATTTCCGAGAAGAAAAGAATGCCGATAGTAAAAATTTCGAAGTGTCTTACACATATCTCTTTTGCCGCCTCATTAACATATGATCCATCCTCATTCCTATGTGTAGCGAGATAAAGTTGTCCTCGTCCAGACTTTTGTCCAGTCTCAGCCATCTATAAATGAAAAGGTCAAATTCGCATTAACTTAACTAACTAGGAATAGTTGTTAGTTTAATTAAAGTATCCAAAATGAATTATTACCATTTCAGCCCTTCTTCTAGAGTTAGGTTTGGAGGCACCGATATGTGAAATATTTTGTTTCTTCCGAATTTTAGCATTTCTTTTACAAGTTTCGTTACAAGAAGATGCCAGAAAAAAATTACATGTTAGAATATATATCTGAATCTTAGTGTTTGCTTTACCTGCATGCACATGCAAGGACACAGATGGGGGTCATTATTTGCATTATGTAGCAATTGATCCAGTTTTACCTTTGTATCTGCAGGTAGAATGGAACAAATAATACAAAAGGGCATCTTCTTACAACCTAATAATGACTAAAGAGGAGAAAGAACACAAGTCTATTATTTCATCATTGAGTAGAATTTTGATAGATTTCATTGGGACCCAAATCAGCAAAAGCTCCAGCCTTTCTTGTCCTTTCCTCAATCTTAAAAGAAAAATAGTAAAGTGGTAAACTAAAGATAGAGGTCACTCGTCTCAATGCTACAGTAAAGTGGCAAAAGCACATTATATTATTCACTTGCACTGATAGAACTCAGATTTGAACTGCTGCTTCGCCAACAGTGTTCAACCAGAACTTGGATTTGAACTGCTATGGTCACATAAGAGCACTAATGAACCTTGTCTAATGCTCCACACGAATTTTCAAATGGGACAGTGGGAGTAAATATATCAATACTGCTCATCCTAACAAATTAAAGAAACTAAGGGAGTATTTCAGATTTGGTGTCCCACCATATTTTTGTCATTTGTCCCTAACAACCATTCCTCTTCTCCTCCACACGAATTTTGAAACTTCTTATATCTAAGCTATAGGCTTGTTGAAAAGGGGAGAATTCATACATACACAAAAATAGAGAGGAACAACCATTCCATACTCTCTGTTGCCTCAATCTTAAGCCATCAACTTAAAAGGTTAGTCAATTAGTATCTAATAACTTAAAAAAGTTTGTTTAACTGAATATTTTTGTATGGCTATATATCTTCAAAAATGTTTTCTGCAATGACTTTTTCCTCTTCTTTATCCTGATGATGTTTTATGTATGGCTATATCTGCAAAACTATTTTCTGCTATGACTTTCTTCAGTTTCATTCTATTCTTACTTCATCAGTTGTAATTTGACATGTTACTGTCTCATGTCTCAAGAAACTCAAGTGAGAAATAGACTTTTAAAGAGAAGAAGACAGAACATAAATTCCAAGACAAAATTTACTATTTTTCAAACCTCTTAAATTATAATTCTCGGGCTGCTGCTGTTGTTGACTGTGAAATGATGCAGAAAGTTGGAGAAATGAACCACCTAAGTCAAAATATTGAGACACCATTTCTTGATTCTCTTTTAACTAAGTTGATTTCAGGAAACTCAATTCTTGAATACTCGATCGGATCAAGAACAAGTTGAGATGTATTTATGTCCAGTAATACAACTTCTGAACTTATAGAAGAAGAAGATGATGGTGAACAAGAAGGATTATTTGATACTGAAATAGGGTTGTTGGTATTCAAGAAAAGTGACAATTTAACAGTACCAGCAGGAGAATGAAACAAATCAGTGGAAGAAAGGCTAAAATCTTGAGTGGTTTTTCCTTTACCAATAACTGAAGAATTAGGTACTAAAGCAAATCCTAAGAGTTGATCTTACATTAGTGTTTTGGCTCTACTAAGCATCCATATTTCACATTTGAGAATCGAGTCAATTTGGGATACTTTCATGGCTAAATCTTCATTGAAATCAGGAACTTTGCCACCACCATTTATGATCCTTGTTGATATGGCTTCATCAGGATTGTAAGTAAGTGAAAATTTGGCATAAACATCTTGGTTGTCATAGATACAAATGTTGTGTATGTTCCTAGCATTGTGGACATGAATTTCAAGAATCCCAGAGAATTGAGATTCTGAATCTGTACTTATATTTGGATTGTATAGAAAACTTGTTGATGTTTCCTCTTAAATTTACTACATCAAGTTGTCACGCTCCAAAACTGGAGGGCAGTGAGTAGTAACCGACAACCAACTAGGCTGGTGTTATGGAACGAACCTTTAACCATGTCATAACATTTGACTATAAAACGTGCACTGCAAACCCTTCTGATAGAGGTTGTAGGCAGCACATACAGAAGATAAATTGGGAAACTGTTGCTTAAAGACAATTTTGTTCGTCGTGTATAGACTTTTATATGCAGATGTGACACAACGAATATGCTAAAATCACGCAAGCTACACCTAACATCACATGGAAGTAATTTTGTTTTCAGACTTAAATTTTCTTACAATATCAGTTTGATTTATTCGGTAGTAACAGTTTATGTTATTTTTCAAGTTATTAAACCAAGAATACATCCAAGCAGAAGTATCCTCGTTGTTATATAAATGGACAGTATCCTCGTTGTCTGTTTCAGTATTTACCAAGAACTAAATTCCAAGTAGAAAACCTTTATTCAGTGAATAGACAAGAAATGTAGCATCAAAATGCCATCCCCCAACTTTAAACCCCGAAAATAATAAATAAAGTATATTATACATACAGCCAGTTCGGAACTTGCAGAAACCAAATTGTAAACTCATATTCAATTCTAATTCCCAGAAATAACACATTTCGAAAACTGCATATTTGTAAACATCACCAACCAAATCGCAACTCCAGAAAAATAGTTTTCAAACACATAAAGCACATCTACAACAAAACCAATTTGAATCTGGAAAGGAAAAAAAATTAATATTCAACACTATGAAGAAAACTAAAAACCTGTTTATACTTTAGTTGTGCTCTTTGATCAGTACTAAAATAGTACCTTGAGACAATTGCGTCTTCTCTGAAGGTCCCCAGGAGTTCTAAAATACACATGCAAAAGGAAATATTTCAATTAAGTCTCAAATCACAGAAATTAACCTACAAAATACACAAAAATCTAAATTTTAGAACCTATAATACCTAATGCCAAAGAAGAAAGAGGACTTGCATCTCAATTTCAACAAAGAGTATTATATCCTTCTTCAAAATACACCGATTCTACCAAATTTCTGCTCCTTTCTGTTGAGAATCGAAAAACATCAATGCTACACGCATTAACAGAGAAATTACAGAGAAAGAAAGGCACAAATTTTTTCGAGCCTTAACAGAGAAAATCAGTAGAAGAAAACACAAATTAACAGAGAAAATAAACTTAAAACCCACATACATGAGAAAGAAAGACAAAAAAGCAAAATGAAAGGACTGATAGAGATGATTTTGCTCTAATCACAATATTAATGCTATACGATTGAGAGCTTCAGATCTTTTCGAGGAATCACAATATGAACTTACATCCATTTTCTGGGTTGATAGCTTTCTAGGTTGATTTTACAAAAAAGCAAAATCAAAGCAGAGAGCAAAATCAAAAGAGAAATTTGGAATTTTGCAAGTTATGGCAGAGAAACTATACGGGCTTGAGCAGAAAAGCTATGGCAGACAGAATTTAAGAGAGCTGAAAAGGTTTGGGAATAAAAGGGAGGGAAAGGATTAAAAAACGAGGGAAATATTGGGGTTAGGGGACGCTATTTTTTGTAAGGTTTGCGGAGGTTAGTGACCGCCGTAAATGTAATATATTTGCGGGGTAAATAAATCCCTATAGTTTGATATAAATTGCGGAGGTTATAGTAACTGCCGCAATAAAACTTCTGCAAATTTGACATTTTTTTGTAGTGCTAGGGTCGGTACCAAAATCTGCACAAGAAGTGCAGAGTGTAGTATGAGTACAACCGACCACATATATTCGTAAGTGCTGATCTTTATCTCGATGAAGTAGTGACGAGGCTATGACAAGATACCTACATAATAAACATGTGCAGATAACAGTATATGTACAAGATAGCAACAAAGAAAAGCTAAACAGGTATTAGCGGGAGGGGAACATGCTAAGGGAATACAAGGTACGAGAGATACAACAAAAATGATAACCAGAACAGTCAATATGCCTTTAACCAGTAAAAACAATTAAGCACAAGGAAGAAAATTGCATGACATCAACCTTCGTGCTTTTACTCTCATCCTCACAATGAAACAATGATACTGCACGGCATTACCCTTCGTGTTTTTACTCTCACTCACTGTATAAATCAATAGAAACGGAACGACATTACCCTTCGTGCATTAACTTTCATAACATGGCACAACATCACTCTTTGTGCATTAACATTCACATACGATATGACATCACCCTTCGTGCGTTAACACTTCCCCTTACCACATAACAATGAACAAGTAATAACAGGGAGATAGGATCAGCAAGTACAAGCCTTACTTTAACAATGGTTCCACAATACCAACCTCAACTTCAGAAACAATACTCAAATATCATAGATAGTCCATAAATGCGGAAAGAATTATCAATTTTGTAATTATATAGTCTAAGCATGGATATCATGATCAAAGAAAGCATTAAATAATAAGAAACAAGACCCACCCGCATAATTTAGCCCAACAAAAACGCACAAGTACTCGTCGACTCACATATACGCTATACCCAACATTTAAACAAGCAGCAAATAGGCAAACAAGTCCTAATCCCTCAAGTCAAGGTTAACCATGACACTTACCTCGCTCTAAAGGATCTATTTAAAGCTCAATCGCGACTTTGCCCTTCAAACAAGCCTCTGAACTAATAGAATCTAGCAAATTACCAACCAAATAATTCAAATTAAGCCTTAGGAATTACCCACGATTGCAAAGAATTTAATTTAGGTCATTATTGAAAAAGTCAACAAAAGTCAACCCTAGGCTTGCTTGGTCCAAACTCGAAATTTGGACCAAACCCCGATTATCCATTCACCTCCGAGCCCGGTTATGTAATTTGTTTTGGAATTTGACCTCAATTTGAGGTCTAAATCCCCATTTTATAAAAATCCTTAATTTTACCCAAACCCTCAATTTCCACCATGAAAACACAAGATTTTTGGTTGAAATCTTAGGAAATGTTGTGAAAGATTGAAAGAATCAAGTTTAGAATCACTTACCAATGATTTGGGGGAAGAAGAGTCCTTTGAAAAATCGCCTCTAGGGTTTCTAAGTTTGAAAATTTGAGAGAATGAACAAAAATCCCGTTGAACTCCCATTTTAATCAGTTGCAGATCTCACATTTGCGACCAGGGGTTCGCAAATACGAAGAAACCATCGAAAATGCGAAGCTCTTCACATCTATGCTTTCATCACAAATGCGATGAATTGTTCGCATATGCAAACAATGATCTCCTGCAAATGCGACCTTTTGATCGCAATTGCGATCACTGTACCCCCTGAGCCACTTTGTAAATGCGAAGTTTTGTTCGCAAATGCGGACTTGAGGTTCCCCAGCTACTCTTCGCAAATGCGGTGAGTAACTCGCAAATGCGAATCCATCAGTGGCCGCAAATGTGAAGCCTGGCCTCGCAATTGCGAGGTCTGAGGCCTGCACCAAAAACTGAAGAACACCAGCAATGTTCTAAGTCAAATATCACTCCATAGCCTATCTGAAACTGACCCGAGCCCTCGGCACTATAAAAAAAATGTGCACACAAGTCTAAAAATATTATTCAAACTTGCTCGCGCGATCAAATTGCCAAAATAACACCTAGAACTACAATTGAGCATGAATTCCAAGTAAATTTTCTAGTAAACTCATGAACTTTTAATTTCACAACCGGAAGGTCGTATCACGTCAAACCAACTCTGTTTCTGATAGGTTTTCAATATCTTTGCTTTGTATTTTGATGATTTAATAAACATAACGTCAAGAACCAGATAGGGAACCTGACTCACTTGGATTACACTGCATCTAACGGATTCCAGCCAAATGTGAACTTGCTACAGCTTCAGGAGGTAGGAACCCAGACAAGGGCCTGATACTCTTGTGGGTTCCTCACGACAGTACAAAGTCAATTGGACACAGCTGGATACGAAGATTCCGGCGCACTGCATTGTTTCCAGCGCCCACTCATTCTCTGATCAACTAAAGTACAATGATTCAAGTTAGTCAACTCAAGACAATCTGGGCAGTGTGCACAAGTACCAGATCATGAACTTGATCCCTTGGTGCTCCCCTAACAGAAGTACAAGTCAACTATACAGCTGGATCACAACTGCAGAAAATGACTGTCCGCAACTGTACAAAGAGGAACACAATAGGGACCTGATCCCTAAGGGTTCTCTGACAAAAGTACAAGTCAACTATACAGATAGAACACAACTGAGTGACTGTTCGTAACTGTACAAAGAGGAACACAATAGGGACCTGGTCCCTTAGGGTTCTCTGACATAAGTACAAAGTCAACTACAGCTGGAAAGCAATTGCAGAAAGTGATTGCCTGCAACAATACAACAGACAAAGCAACAAATGGTGCAACAA